TACTTTGGCACGTAATTTACACAAGGTCTGTTCGGTCTGTCACATTTGTAAACATATATTTTATCAGCAGTCAAGAGTAACTGTGTAACTACATTCTCTAGAGGTAATGTGAATCAGATGTGGATACAAAAAAAATCAAAAGATTTGGTAAAGTTCATACAATGCAAGTCCTTCTCTCTTTGAGTAATTGTATAAAACATTTGACTTCTATACCCTGTATGCAAGTAATCCTCATACCAAACAGATTGAATAAATTAGTCCAACTTGATTGCATTAAAACGGATGGCAAACGTAGAAAAAAATATCTTGTTAAGGAAGTGTAAATCAAACATAGTAAAAAAAATGCTCTGATTTAAACAGAAACTTTCGTGAAACTAACATCATAAAGATGCTTGATATTTGTCGAGCCTGCGATATTGATGTCGCGAAAGCGAGACATAGCGATCCTAGATTTCGTCGTCGGCGTTGGCGGCGTCAACATTTAGGTTCAGTCTGTGGTTTATTATTTAGACATCAGTAACTTTGTCAAACCTTTTAAAGTCAACAGTACACTTTTACACTGAGAGCAGTAATCGCAGGCGAGACGAAGGGTTCCGCGGAACCCCTTACGAATTTGTATTTATAGATAACATATTTGTAGCATTTGGTGGCCAGATCTTTCTATAGACATTTGTGCTCAATTTCTTCGAAACTGGTGCCTTTATTCTGACGAATTAGTCCTGCCGACTCGCCCCAGGTATGAAAAAGAGTAAAATCCCGATAAATTTAGTCCTGCCAACTCGCCCCACTTATGAAAAATAGTTAAATCCCGATGAATAAAGGACAGGCAGGACTAAGTTCAACGGTATTTTAGCCTTTTTATACGACCGCAAAAAATTTTGCGGTCGTATATTGGTATGACGTTGGCGTCGATGTCGTCGTCGTCATCGTCATCGTCGTCGTCCGAAGACTCATTGATTTTCGCACACTTACTTTAGTTTAAGTGAATGGATCTCTATGAAATTTTACCATAAGGTTCAATACCACAAAAGGAAGGTTGGGAATGATTTTGGGGTTATGGTACCAACAGTTAAGGAATTAGGGGCCAAAAATAAGCATTTTTGTAACTTCCAGACATAACTTGTGTGTTAGTGTATGGATCTCTCTGACATTGTACCACAAGGTTCCATATCACAAAGGGAATGCTGGGATTGATTTTGGGGGTAATTCCTTCAAAATTTTAGGAATTAGGGGCAAAAAAGGGGAAAAAAACAAGCATTTTTCTAGTTTCATGACTATAACTTGTGTGTAAGTGTATGGATCTTTCTGAAATTGTACTACAAGGTTCCATATCACAAAGGGAAAGCTGGAATTGAGTTTGGGGGTAATTTCCCAAAACGTTTAGGAATAAGGGGCCAAAAATAAGCATTTTTCTAGTTTCCAGACCATAACTTGTGTTCAAGTATATGAATCTCTCTGAAGTTGTACTGCAAGGTACCATATCACAAAGTGAATGCTGGGATTGATTTTGGGGGTAATTGCCTCAAAATTTTAGGAATTAGGGGCCAAAAAGGGGAAAAAAACAAGCATTTTTCTAGTTTCAGGACAATAACTTGTGTGTAAGTGTATGGATCTTTATGAAATTGTACTACAAGGTTCCATATCACAAAGGGAAAGCTGGGTTTGAGTTTGGGGGTAATTGCCCCAAACGTTTAGGAATTTGGGGCCAAAAAGGGGCAAAAAAGCAAGCATTTTTCTAGTTTCCAGACAATTACTTGTGTTCAAGTGTATGGATCTCTCTGAAATTGTACTGCAAGGTACCATATCACAAAGTGAATGCTGGGATTGATTTTGGGGGTAATTGCCTCAAAATTTTAGGAATTAGGGGCCAAAAAGGGGCAAAAAACAAGCATTTTTCTAGTTTCAGGACAATAACTTGTGTGTACATGTATGGATCTTTATGAAATTGTACTACAAGGTTCCATATCACAAAGGGAAAGCTGGGTTTGAGTTTGGGGGTAATTGCCCTAAACGTTTAGGAAATTGGGGCCAAAAAGGGGCCAACACACAAGCACTTTTCTAGTTTCCAGACAATAACTTGTGTTCAAGTGTATGAATCTCTCTGAAATTGTACTGCAAGGTACCATACCACAAAGGGAAGGCTGGGATTGAGTTTGGGGATGATGAATCATAAGGGGGTTCAAAACATTTAGGGGGGATTCCTTTTCCCTTTTTTTTATTTAAAATTTTCCATTTTAAATTGGTTATTTCTGATTAATATATAAAAGCAAATAATAATGATATGGTTTGAATAGGTAAATATAATTTTTTTAAGTTCTTAGACCACATTCATTCTGTGTCAGAAACCTATGCTGTGTCAAATATTTAATCACAATCCAAATTCTGAGCTGTATCAAGCTTGAATGTTGTGTCCATACTTGCCCCAACTGTTCAGGGTTTCGACCTCTGCGGTCGTATCAAGCTGCCCCCAGAGGATTATTTTATTCATAGGTGGGGAGAGTTGGCATGAGTAAATTCAACGGTATTTTCCCCTTAAGTGGGGTGAGTTGTTAAACAAAAGTAGGGCGATTGGGCAGTGGGCGAGTTGTCATGGATTCTTCATATGAGGCAGATTTCATACAGGAGCTTCATAAGAAGAAAGAAAAGAAGCTAGCATTAATATTTAACTTCACATTGCACTATATGATCTGAATAATTCAAAGTTCTCCGACTATGCTGATCGCATCTCTCCCATTAAACTTGAAATAAAGGATATCACAGATACAGTTGTAAAGTCTTCTTCATATCTTGACTGATATCTAGAAATTTACAATGAAGGTCTATTGAGATACTAACTTTATGACAAAAGAAAGGATTTCAAGTTTTCTATGGTGAACTTTTCTTTTCTTTGTAGCAACATTCCATCAGTACATGCATATGGAGTATATATCTCCCAGTTGATATGATATCCCAGGGCTTTTGTTTCCCGTCATGATTTCCTTGGTAGAGGGTTGGTGCTTACATGAAAGCTATTGAAGCAAGGTTTGCTAATGACAAGTTGAAGTCTTTATTTCGAAAGTCTTACGGACACCATCATGATTTGGTTGACCATCATGGAATATTTGTGTCATAGATGACCAAAGATATCTTTTACTTATAGTAGCTACACTATTGTCCTCTTTTCGTAGCCACAATCCTCTTGTCCTTGTTTGTGACAACACCAAATTTGATGCATCATCAAATTCCACTTTCCTTTAGCAACTCTTGGAACAGAAAATGATTATCCCATCTGGAGCACATAAGCTCATCTCTTTTTGTAGTGTTTGTTTTGCTCAATCTGTAGTTTTCTGTGTATTGGTAGTGTTTCGTTGACTTTTGTTTTTCTTTGACATAGTTTTTTATTGCCCCCATTTTTGTCTCGCCTGCAACGAAAGTAGCGAGACATAGGGATTGCTTTTCCGGCGACGACGACTGCGTCAACAATTGTTAAGTTTTCTGCTTAAGTTAGTTTAATAGGAACTACTTGTGATAGATCATTGATATTTACTAGGAAGTTGCATTACTATCAGTACATATCAGTTTGACGACTATTTTGAGGCCCTTCCCCCTAGGACATGGTCCAGTGACTTTGAATTAATTAGCAATTTTCAGTGTTAAGTTTTCTGCTTAAGTTATTTTGATAGGATCTACTTGTGATAGATCAATGATATTTTGTATGAAGTTGCATTACTATCAGTACATATCAGTTTGACGACTATGTTGAGGCCCTTCCCCCTAGGACATGGTCCAGTGACTTTGAATTAATTAGCAATTTTCAGTGTTAAGTATTCTGCTTAAGTTAGTTTGACAGGATCTACTTTTGATAGATCAATGATATTTTGTACGAAGTCGCATTACTATCAGTACATATCAGTTTGACGACTATTTTGAGGCCCTGCCCCCTAGGACATGGTCAAGTGACTTTGAATTAATTAGCAATTTTCAATGTTAAGTATTCTGCTTTAGTTAGTTTGATAGGATCTACTTGTAATAGATTAATGATATTTTGTATGAAGTTGCATTACTATAAGTACATATCAGTTTGAAGATTAGTTTGAGGCCCTGCCCCCTAGGACATGGTCCAGTGACTTTGAATTAATTAGCAATTTTCAATGTTAAGTTTTTCAGCTTAAGTTGTATTGATAGGAACTATTTACACTTAACAACGATATTTTCTATAAAGTTACATTACTGTCTGTACATCTCAGTTTGTCGACCATTTTCAGGCCCTGCTCACTAGATCATGGTCCAGTGACTGAATTGATAAGCAATGTTGCTGTCCATCAGATTGTCTTTTTCTGAATGTTATGCCGATAGGCGAGACATATCTCTGTGTCAACAGTTTATTACACAGTTTGTACAGATACAAATACTACATAAACATTTTTTACTCTCCAAAGGTACACACAAGAAGGGTAAATGAAGTCCCTGTAAAATACCAGACTGGTATGGAACATCTTTAGCCAATGTGATTTTAAAACATATTGTATTTCTGTTTGCTATATTAGTCAATTTCTATTTATAAAAACTCTGAAAGAACTCGGATTCTTTTGTTCCTTAGGTTTATGAAATCTATAGATTGACAGAGACATTTGTTATTTCATCTTTTTGAAAGGTTTTCGCATCCTTTGATCTTGTGTGGTCAGTTGTGACATAGACATTTATGTCACCTCTCGTCTTATTTTTATAAGGACAATTTACAATATATCTTCTAAACATTTTTCAGTTGACTATGAAACTGTTCTCTTTTTTAATGATAAATGCAATGTGATTGATTGTTGTTTACTTAACATCCAGCAGGCATAACATTTTGAAACCATTATTTATTTTCATTAAATTCAAAAGAGTATAATAAAAAATATAGGTACATCTACAAATGCGTACATAGTAGAAATAATGAAAATTTGATGTACTTGCTATTGCATTTTGTTGGATTTTCTTTACCTTTCAAAATACACATTTATTTTATCTCTCCATTGCAGTGACCAGAGTTCGATCACAAGGATTTATTACAGTTTCATTTAATGTTGTGATGAAAGACATGAAAAAATTAGGCTATGATGTAATACCATCTGAAGTTTCTACGACAGTCATACCTGAAAATGTTGGGATGAAAACACAGGAAGTGTCTTAGAATTGTTTAGTTATTTCCGACTTATGTACACATTCATTGTATAAAGACATTAATTTATATATTTTATACATATAATAAATTGTAAGTTGTAGATTTTAAATACTCATATATATGAAAAAAATATTCTTCCAAAATATTCAGAAATATATGTGAATGCTTTTATACATTGGTCAGATTTAAATCTTGTATTCTAAACACAGAATTGTTTTAGTGTGATAATCAAAGCTTCATTGGTGCTGTGAAGCAGCCAATATGAATTGAACATCTATGCATTTAAATTATTACATTAGGTCATTTCTTAACAAATGTTTTATTAAAAAGTAGTTTATGGAAATGAAGAGAAGAAATACTTTGTATAAATTTATGATACAAAATCGATACACGCACATGAAAAAATACCAAAAAGCAAAGACACAGCGCTTTCATTGCTGTTCTTCATCTCAAAATCACAGTGTGGCCTTCAACATGTAGCAAACACTCTCTCCTTGCTGCAAGTTAAACAAGAGGCATTTAGTACAGGTTTGAGTGGAATGCATTGCTAGATGGCAATCAAGCTACATATGTGCATTGAAAAACACAACTGAAATGTCAACAAATTTTAAATTATATGGGGCAAAGAAAGTGCTCTTTTCACTTACAGGTACTGAAAGGGATAAAAATATGCATGATACTTGGTTAAGATGCCTTTTACATTTGTATATATTGTTCTAGAAAACTTCTGCAATTTGAATGAAGCATATAATTAACATTATAGTAAACTTTGGTTCAAGGGTCAAGTGAGCTATCCTCATCACTTGGCGTTCGTTGTCCATCGTCGTTCTCCGTCAACAGTAAATTTCTACAAAAGTATTCGCCTCTGAAACTACTAGGCCAATTGGATCCAACTTGGCCACAATCATTATTGTGGTATCTTGTTTAAAACACATATCCGATGATCCTACCTGCTAACCAACATGGCCGACATGGCTAAAAATAGTCTATAAGGGGTAAATACAAGTTTGGCTAAGATTAGAAAGAGAAAAATAACAGGATAAGAATGATCAGACTATTGAGATCTACCAATTGTCCATTTACTTTAAAATTGTCAGATGACTTACTATAGGAGTTATTGCCCTTAAATGACCAAATTTACAATATATTTTTTTTCCTTTTTGCCTATACTCTTGAAAACAATAATAGATACAGAGAAACTTCAAATTGCAAAAATAATCAGCAAGACAACATCTACCATATAGTCATCATAGCCGAAATTGTCAATCGACTCTTTTTACAAATTTTTTGCGGTATTGACTTTTATTAGCCAACCTAGCCCAAACGGCCAAGTTAGCTTTTCTCATCACTTGGCGTCCTTCGTCGTCGTCCATTAACTTTTACAAAAATCTTCTATTCTGAAACTACTGGGCCAAGTTTAACCAAACTTGGCCACAATCATCATTGGGATATCTAGTCTCATGACCCAGTCTGCCAACCAACATGGGCAACATGGCTAAAAATAGAACATAGGGATAAATGCAAGTTATGTCTATTATCTAAAAACCACTATAGATAGAAAACATCTGAAGTGGCAAAAATGTTCAGAATAATGAGATATACCTATTGTTAATTTACATCAAAACTGTCAGGCGATTTCTTTTAGTAGTTGTTGCTGTGAATGACGATTTTTTTTCAATTTTTTCATTTTTGCCTATTTTTTTTAGATAGAGAGAAACTTTATACATCAAAAATGATCAGCAAAACAAGATTTACAAATAAGTCAACATTTCCGAAATAATCCGACAACTCCTTATAGGAGTTATTACTGACCACTTTTCCCAATATTATGCGTTTTTGCCTTATATCTTAAAGATTAAAATAGGTAGATAGAAATTTAAATGAACAAAAATGATCAGCAAGACAAGATCTACCAATAAGTTAAGATGATCGAAATCGTCAGTCGACTCCTTATTTGAGAATTGGTCTTTTATGACGATTTTTACCATGTTTTTTTTTGAAGTTTTTGCCTATTATCTTGAAAATATAAAAGAAAGATTGACACTTTAAATAACAAAAATAATCAGCAAGACAAGATCTACATATATATTGTAGCTCATACATTGCCGGAATCATCCGTAGACTCTTTATAGGAGTGATTGTCATAAAAAGACGACTTTTTTTTTTAAATTTTTGTTTTTTGGGCAAAAACTAAAGATAGACAAAAGTTTTAAACGGAAAAAAATAATCAGCAATAAAAGATCAACAAAAAAGAGGATTCTATTCTAATCCATAATGTTGGAGAGTGTCCATTGTTAAGATGCACATTGACCTAGGGAGCGACACATGCTTTAGAGCCTCTAGTTTGAAAACTATCATATATATATAGAGAAATTTTAAATAATGAAAATGATCCACAAGACCAGATCTTCAAATAAGTAAATATTGCCGAAATCGTTGGACAATGTTTATAGACACAAGTGCCCTTAATGACGATTTTTGCGTTTTTGCCTATTATCTTGAAAACTATAATAGATAGAATGAATTACAGCAGAACAAGATTTACAAACATGTCAATACGGCCGAAATTGTCAGTCAACTTTTAATAGGAGTTATTGCCCTTAAATTATGATTTTTGTCTACGGCGGCGGCGTAAATTATTTCTAAAAATATATATATTTCAGAAGGTAGATAACTTTGGATGGTTCATACCTTGTATGCATATACCTTATGTTACGAAGTGTCCGTCTGTCATATGTTCATTGTCCTCATCCTCATTTTCATTTTCATGGTTCAGCGACTGCTTGAGATATTTTTGTTTTTTTTGTGTTTTGTTCTGTTTTTCAAATACAATAAGCAATAGGTCAAATATATTTAGTGTATGACATGGTTGTAAGGTGTACATGTCTGTCTGGCAGTTATCACTTTGACCTCGTTTTCATGGTTCATTGGTCAATGTTAAAGTTTTTGAGTTTTGTTCTGTTTTTCAAATACTATAAGCAATAGGTCAACTATACTTGGTGTATGGAATATTAATAAGGTGTACATGTCTGTCTGACAGGATTTATCTGACCCTGACCTCATTGTCATGGATATTTAAAAATGTTAAGTTTTTGTGATACTTGTAGTTAAACCTTTATCTTTAAGACTTTTAAGTTTTAACATAAAATCAATGGTCAGTAAAGCATGCGAGACATTTCAATGTGTGCACCCCTGTTACCTATTTTTTTTCTATATTTTGGCGTAAACTTTGACGGATAAAGAAAAATAGATTGACTGATTGGTGTTTGCTTTAAAAAAAAATGATCAGCAAGATCTACAAATAAGTCAACATAGCCGATATTGTCTGTCGACTACTTATAGGAGTAATTGCACTTAAATGAAAGGCCATGTGAGCTTTTGCCATATCTTTGCGTCAGTCATGGTCGTCTGTCGTCCATGCATCATCGTAAACTCTAAAAAAAAAACTTCTCAGAAACTACTGGGCCAAATGTAACCAAACTTAAACTGAATATTCCATAGGGAATCTAGTTTACCAAGGACTTGATCCATCAACAAACAAGGCCGATGTCGCAAAAAAGGACATATGGGATAAATGCAGTTTTTGGCTTATATCTCAACCATTAAAGCAGATAGAGCAAATCTGACTATTCAAATCATCAATAGGTTAATGTCTATTTCCTGCAGAATGTCTAGAAAAATCTGATATTCCGTTTTGGCGTTATTTAACATAAAATGTCATTTTTTTGTAAATTTCAAAGCTTTTTTGGCTTATTTCTCAAAATCTTAAGCAGTTTGAGCAAATCTGACATAGGGTAGAATTAATCAGTAGGACAATGTCTCTCTCCTTCTAAAATTTCAGAAAAATCGCACGACCCGTTTACGAGTTATTGCCCTTGAAATGTTTTTTTTTTTTTTTGTCAATTACGCAGTTTTTGATTACTTCTATTTTCTTGAAACAGATGGAGAGACCAGAACAAGACCTAAAATAAGTCAACTTGGCATAAATAGTCAAAAACGACCTTTTCTTAAAATTGTATAAAAAAATTAGTAAAAAGATACCTACTTTATAAAAATGTCTATCTTTAATTTTTGAACCCGCACAGACAAACTTTTTTAAATTGTATATTAACGAAAAGACAATATTTCTATATTGAACGTTCACGTGACAAGAGCAGACCGGTGTATTCGAAAACTTACCTTTTGGCTAATATGGCCGTATTTACACCAGACATTTTAATGGTGAGTACAGACAAACCTGTGCACCTAGAAAAGTTTTAAGGCATGGGAGGAAATGGAACATTAAATTCTGAATGCATATTGTGTTCCAGAAAATTATAAACTTCTCTGGATTTTGAGATTCCTTTTTAGCTCATCTGGCCGAAAGGCCAAGTGGGCTTTTCTCATCACTTGGCGTCCGTCGTCGTCGTCGTTAACTTTTACAAAAATCTTCTCTAAAACTACTTGGCCAAATTTAACCAAACTTTACCACAATCATTATTGTGGTATCTAGTTTAAAAAATGTGTCCAATGACCCCGCCAGCCAACCAAGATGGCCGACATGGCTAAAAATAGAACATAGGGGTAAAATACAAGTTTTGCCTATTATTTTGAAAACCGCTATAAATAGAGAAAATCTGTTGAGCTCTACCTGTTGTTCATACACGTAAAAAATGTCAAAGGACTTCTTATAGGAGTTATTGCCCTGAAAAGATGAATTTTGCCATTTTAATATTTGTTTGCCTATTATCTCGAAAATTATAATAGATAGAAATAAACTTTAAAACGCAAAAATTATCAGCAAGACGAGATCTGCAAATAATTCTCACATGCAGAAATCTTCAGTTGACTCCTTATTAGAGTTATTGCCCTATAATGACGATTTTTACCATTTTTTTTGCGTTTTAGCCTAATATCTTAAAAAAACTATATTAGATAGATAGAAACTGTAAATATCAAAAATGATCAGCAAGACAAGATCTACAAATAAGCCTAATGGTCGAAATCTTAAGTCGACTCGTTATTAGAGATATTGGCCTTTAAGGATAATTTTCCGATTTTTGCCTAATATCTTGAAAATAGATAGAAACTTTAAATAGAACAAATGATCAACAAGACAAGATCCACAAATACGCCAAAATGGCAGAAATCTGCAGTCGACTCGTTATTGGAGTTATTGTTCTTGGAAGATTTTTTTTTTTTTTTGTATTTTTTGCCTTTTATCTTGAAAACTATAAAAGATAAATAGAAACTTTAATTAGGAAAATTATCAGCAGGATAAGATCTACAAATATGTCAACATGACTGAAATTGTCAGTTTAATATATTTAAATAGAGTCATTCCCCTTTAATGATGATTTTTTAAAAGTGGCTATTGTTGAAGATGCAGGTGAGCGACACAGGCTCTTTAGAGCCTCTAGTTTGCGTTCCCACAGTAGGTGTCAAAATAAACTAAATTTGTAAAAATGTTTGAGATGTTCCCCTATGGAAATAATTGTAGTGAGTTGTGTTGATTAACTGGACAATAGATTGACAATAGATGTCTGCACAACAATAGGTGATTTAAACTGTGTAAATGAGTGGACCATATCAAATGAAACTCGGGTGCTTGTTTATTTTATTACCTTCTGCAGGCTTAAACTAGAGGCTCCAAGAAGCCTGTGTCGCTCACCTGATATTTTTGTTTACAATTGATACATGAAACAATTAATGCAACAATAATACTTTTTTTTAAAGGAAACTGTTGACCAAAATCTAATCGTTCCTATGAATTTAACTGCTTTCAACCCGTTTATCATTTAAAGTTTTCAAGGTTAAAACACACATTTTAAGTATACCGTGCTCCTGTCTCATGGACATATATTTTTATATATTTTTTGTATATCATTACTGGTAAAGGATCATCAAGGGAACTTTAATTGATTTTGCCATGTTTATTAGAAGTTTTTCAAATGGTTGTCACAGCAAAGTTACTGATCATTATGGCGACTGAAAACAGAATTGTGTCAATCTTTTTGTAGATTTTTTTCCTGGACCCAAGATTAGCATCTTTTAAGAGTGTTGACCTGACTTTTGAATTAAGATTCAAAATGCATAGGTATTACTTTAATCGAACAAGGAGAGCCACAGAGAACTCATCAAATAGAGACATCCTTTATAGTAGTTCTAACATGTGTGAAGCTGCCAATATGTTTGTCATTTTTAAGTTGTGACCATGTTTGTCTATGACTCATTGTTTTTTTTCTTCTTGACTGGATGTTTCGTTTTTATCTTTTCCAAAACTGAATGGAGTGAGAAAAATAATAAAAGATATCAAATTTAATTGTGTTTATTATGAAGAAAGTGAAACCATCAAATATTTCAACTGATGCATTAAAATATTCATTGTCTTATGCATGTTTTATTTGTACAAAATGTGCATTTAAACCGTTCACTTATAGAACAATATTTACATTCTATAACAACACATTTTCAAAGTCAAAATATGACAGTAAGTGACAGTATAAATGAAAGGCAACACACTGATTTCATAGAGAAAATGAGAATGGTCTCCATAACGTGACCTTTAAATTGTCTTGAAGTTAATTTGCAGGAAACACTTATTGAGAAGAATTTTCAGCAGTTTTTTCAACTAAAAAGTCTAGATTCTATATTTCATTTTCTCTTAGGCATTTAACAAATATTATGTCAAAGTATTTGTCATTTTTTGTTTCCTTTCTGTTCATTGTATACTGAGTTAAACTATAGTATTTCTGTTTTTAAATTTCATTCATATCTATTCTAGTGGATTTTCATTACTGTAAGATTAAAGATTTTACTCCATATGTTATCGTTGTATATAAATATGACAACCACTGAAACAATCTGTATAATTCCAATTTTCTTCAGCAGTTAATTTACTGAATTTACTTTACATTGGCTTATTATAATACAGTATCATCAATGTTCACAAATTTCTACTCTATAAAGCAAATGTTTACATGTATTGTTCATTAATTACTGTTTTATAAATGTCTACTACAAAGATATCCAATGTAAGCAAACAAATAGTTGAGTAAAATAACAGTTTAATGCAATAGTTGATTTGTTTTTCAATATTCATCCCTTTCCATGAATTAATGATTTACACATTTTGATAAACTTGTACTTAGTATAGCAAACAATTCAAATCCTAAGAAACCAAAAATGTCAGATTTATGCATTTTTTACATTTTGAAGAATTTCAAGTTATATTAAAGTAAAATACGTGGTTATCATACAGAAACTGATTTATTTTGTCTGATGATACACGAACATGAGAACATTTCTTGTAGTAAATGAATATTGGATAAGATAAATATGCAGGGAGATAAATTTGGCATTATAAAAAGAAAATTGTACATAAACATGATAAATGTTTAGTAAAATATATATATTGAACAAAAGTAATGAAATAAGTATCAGGTTATCTATATGAAAAATTACAATAAATAAATGCACATAATAAGGGTTAATTATACAATTGATAGAATTGAAAGCAAGGATTTTAACATTCATAAACATTTTGCTGATTTAATCATAGTTCATCAAACAGCAAGTTAAAATTAATAATTTTGTAGGAAGAGAAATGTGACATGGATCTTGTGGTCTTCAAAACTCCTCTATTTTACAGCTTTATTAAAGAGATGGTTTTTTGATTGTGTTCAAAAACAAATATTTCATGCATATTTATATATAAAAATAAAAAAAAACAATAATTGAAGTAAATATCAGGAGTGTTCACATGCAAAGTGCACGACACTCTCCACTGATAATTTAGATTGAGTATTCAGGTAGTAAAGGTGCTAAAATGTAATGTCTCCAATCATTATTGATTTGAAATAAATGGATTATTACTCCTCTTCCATAGCAAAATGGTTGACCTACCAGCAAGGGTCTTACTGCTTTATGGAAGTCAAAGGAACACACTTTCAAATTTCTGTACCTCTGCTACCCTAACCCACTGCACCTATTAAGAAGAAAGCTTTGTTAAGAAGCTTTCTTCTATACAGGTAATATTGGATATCAGGAATCTTGAAGCCCACTATTTTAAAGAACTCATTTCTATTCCTATTTATGAAAAGGCAAATCTGTTGAAGTGGAAAACCATTTTTCCTATAAAACCACTCCATGCACATTTAAGGTTGCATTTTCAGCAACCTTAAATGTGCCATATTTTTTCAGTGGGTTTAATTTTTCATCGTTTCAAACAAAGAAAAAATAAAGCTGGTATCGGAACATAAAATCATCATTACACTGAATCATTGTGTTTCTATGGCCACATAAATTACTTTATGATCTGACCAAAAGGAATCAAGAACATCTGTTTCAAAATTTACCTTACTATCAAAATTAAGGAAAATTAAGTCCAACAATGTGCCATTGTAAGCGTACTTTCATTCCGCCGTGTATTTATTCCGGGTAACTGTTTTTCACTAGAGAATATTGGATGTAAATAGTGTGAAAGCGTTGATCTTGATATCGTTGTTTTGTTAATATTAGACCGGTTTATTGTTTACATAAACAAATGGGTTAAAATTTAAATGATTTTCAAGGAACCAGTTTAATTAATCTAAGTCAATCTAGTAAATAATATTGATGATGATGAGGAGGATATTTCTATAACTCAAAATACTTTATCAATGATCAGGACATTGAACTTGATACAAACCAAATTTAAAGAGCAGATTTGTTCTCACATAAAGTTTCAATTACAGAAGCATCCTTTAATTTTGACATAGAAGATATGATTTAATATCCAAGTCAACCGAAAAGCAAATACATAGAAAAACTTCGGCAATCCAATAAATATAAATATTACAATTAGTGACAATTTAAAAGCATATGATTTTATTGATTTGCATAGGAAAATTATTTAAATCTCATTCGTTAATAAGCATTATTGTGTTATCGTGAGTTCAAAATGAGTACTAATCACTTCATCAATGAATGGATCTAAAGCACTAGTGTAATTAATTCCGCCGGGTATAAAATAACTAGTGCAATCATTCCGGTACAAAATCACTAGTGTAATCATTCCTGGTTTAAAAACACTAGTGTGAACATTCCTTGGATGAAAGCTCTCCACTTTTTACATAAATCAACTATGCAATTTTCAAATACACTAAAAACTATTAAGCCACATTTTATATATATTTCCCCTTCAAAAAAACCTTTTTAGAACCTTATAATGACTGGTGAATGTTTTACACCGGACCCGGATAAAAAACCCTAGTGATTTTTTGTTGGTGGATAAAAATCACTGGGGATTTTCTTCCTCCGGATAAAGTACACTGGCGGAATCAAACCACTGTTACACCATAAGATGTAGTAGCTCTAGACACAATTTGTGAACAGCAAAATTTATCTCTCATGAACGTTAAAAAAATAGTGTTTCCTGTGTTTAAATCAAAATTAAAGTCTCCCATTATGAAAATTTTTGGTGACTTAAATACACACCAGGAAGAAGGTCTGCAAGTAAATTATCCTTCAGTTGTTGCAATTTGCAGTTTGGTGCTTTGTAAACAAAAACAACCTGAAAATTACCTTTGCTGTGTGATATTATGTCTGCTTTTACAAACTCTTAAGTTGGAGTTGAGTAAGTGAATGTATTGTGAAGAATACAATCAGTTCAATAATATAATACCAATCCATGAGGTGTTATTATATTAAAGTTTGTTTCCTTTGGTCTAAGCGAACTGATGGTTCAAAACCAGGCACATAAAAATCATCATTTTCATCTGTTGAAATAAGTCTTGATTCAGCAATACCAATAACATCAGCATCCAAGATGTTAGGGTGATTTTAGATCATTAAAATGAGCATGCAATGGCCTTTAAAATAGTTACTTGATAAGTTATACAATGGCTTTAAGCACAACTGTAGAGTTGCATCTGTCCTTAACCTGTGTAATTCTTGTCGAACACACTCTGCTACAGCTATTGCTTCTTGATTGAGTTCTAATATCTGTAATCCAGTTAAAGATGTTACTCTGCTTAACGCAACATAGTGAATATGTGGTATTTTCCCTTTATACGTTTGGATTTCAGACTAACAACAACTTCATGTAATGTATCCATTGTGATTTATGAATTGTTTTTCGGCTGCTGGACGAACCGGAAACTGAATTCTTTCAAAGGTCTTGGATTTGTAAGTAAATAATCTTTTAATGTCAAAAACTAGAGTCCAATTTTTGGGCAGTTAAGCTGAACTATGCTAGCACACCAGATTTGCTTTTTTCCTCTACTGAAAAAGGTGACATTGCCTTAATCTAGAGTGATAGTAGGTTATTTATAACTAATTAGACATTTTTTTCATGCTTTTAATTCTGGAAAACAAAAAACATGTTGAGAATTACCTTAAATGATCGTCGAACAACTCAAAATAAATGACGTTGCACATAGGAAATAGTGCTCAATAGAATGTCTTACACTGAGTTTTATATTCTGTGCTTTTGATATTGATGTTAAAGAACAATTGTATGAAATATTTCATTGTCGGAACTTTCTATTTACACGTAGTTTATATTTGTCAATTGGCAATAGGCGCATACATATTGTTTGGCGGTAAATTTAACTTGAATACGAAAAGTAAATTTCAAGGATTTAGAAACGTGACTATGTGCGTTATTGCAGATAATGAAGTAACGTCCTAGCAATATGTGGTGCCATGCATGGTCACTTAACGCGAGAACTTCAATTGTCTTTCCTATCTACATGTATTAGACTATTCTGTTATATTATACATAACTGGCCCGGTCAAATCTAGTACAGTTCGACGGGAAAATTCTAAGGTCAAGACATTGGTCACGTGACAAAGGCAGAGTTGTTGAAAATCGTCAGATCCGATTGACAAAAAAATGACGCATTCCAAGTGACATAGCTATCATGTCGGACTCTTTGTCCGGTTAACAATTTTAATCTTTTAGGTCCGATAAAAGTTCTTCTAAAAGTCCAATTTCAGTGTCAACAAATAATTTTGACTGGTCCCGCATTACTTCGTACAAGTAGAAACGAACAGTGCCTAAGTTGACATCCGGGTATCAGTGCATCAGGTAATTGCGCATGATCAATCGATGTGTACACTCGAGTCGTCCTTAATCACATTTCGTACCTACGTTCTTGTAAATCTCTTGAACGTCTCTTCAACACATAATATTACAATGAAACTCAGTTTTAAATACGAAAACAAAATGACACTAAATTCGAAACATTAGATAGGGATTTCATCGACTTAGATGTCTTTTCCTTATAACTTGTCCGTCGATATAGGGGCCGAGATCTGCAGAGGCGAGTGTTTACATTT